TGGAGCGGACGCTCCTTCAGCCCTTCCTCCAACACCTGAGCAGGCACCGGGGGGTAAAACCCCCCCGGGAGCTCAAGGCAAGCTCAGCATCCCCACCGGCCTCCAGGGGCCACCGGCCTCAGCTCCTGCCCTTCTCCTGCCCACAGGCTGCAGCCAGCAGCTCGGAGATATTTGCTGCACAGCCCAAGCCGTGTTCATTGCCCCAAAGGCTGCGCTTCCCCCAAGTCCGTGCAAAAGGGTGTTTCTGCTTTGTGCCCAAACCCGTTTGTATCACAAGTTGCACGCTCTGTGGGTGAAGGAGAGGAAAAAAGTCATCAGTCACCCCGATAGCGTTTTAAAATACCAGCCTGGGCAGACAGATCCTGCCCAGGGTTAGGAAATCTCAGCTCAGCTCCATCATTCCCTCATATCTCTATGGATAGGGATAAGTAGGAGACTCGGGCACTCTGGTGCCAGCAGGACAGATGCAGTGCTGTGAACACATCTCTCTACTATGCTTTTAATTCCTCATTTTTAAATACTGTGTTAACAAGGGTTTTTTTTGTTTGCGTTTTGTTTGTTTGTTTGTTTGGGTTTTTTGTTTGTTTGTTTGTTTTTTCTCCTGAAATGATAGAATCATCATTGAATCAGAATGGTTTGAGTTGGAAGGGACCTTAAAGATCATCTGGATGTGACTCCCCTGCGTTGGCAGGGACACCACACACCTTTAGATCAGGTTGCTCAGAGCCCCATCCAAGCTGCCCCTGAAGCGTTTCAGGGATGGGGCTTCCACAGCTTCCCTGAATCCCAGAGAACGGTTTGAGTTGGGAGGGACCTTAAAGATCATCTAGTTCCAAGCCCCAGCTACTTTGTTTCCCTGCACACAGACAAGCACATTAGGGGCTGTGCCTTTCCCAGCCCTTGAAAGAGACCAGTTTCCAAAACCCCAAAGGGAACAAAGGACCCCCCAGCTCCAGGGCTCTGCCGGCCCTGCTCGGGTGCAGACTGGGAGCATGTGCTGGGCACAGGCAGCAGCTGGTACTTCCAGAGAAAGAGCTGTAGCACATGGCCTTGTGGCTTTTTGTTCCCGGGAAGGGGAGTTCCTTTTCTCCTCTTATGACAGTAATTGTCCTTGATCTACATAAGTAACTTTGCTCACATTGACTCCCATTGTCTCCCTTTAGCCAGAAAACAGACAATCCAATGGCTATTGTTCACCCTGGAGATGTGCCAAGACTGGAAAGGGAGATAAGAAAATACATGTTTGCAGGTGTTTAGATTCTGGGCACATCCTGGACACAGGAGAAAATAAAAGCCCTTTCCCAGCCTGGGTTTAGCAGCAGCGTCACTGTCCGGCCGGGCCGTGCGGGCAGAGCTGCTGAGCTCTCCCTGTCTGCTGGAGGCTGCAGGTGGGTCCCTCTGCCCAGGTACAGACCCCTCAGTCACTGGCCCTGCAGGCAGCAGCTGGGTTACTTCGCTGGAGAGTCAAACACACTGGGTGTGTTTCCAGTCCTCTCACCGTCCGCAGGGACTGATGGCCCCACCGGCCCCATGGGGAACGTGGCACTTGGTTCTGAGCCCTGGGCTGAAATGATCCAGTTCCATTCAATGCAACGACAGCAGGTAGCACAAGCTATGGAGTTCCCATACTGCCAGGTACAGGATCATGCTTCAAAGCCCCTCAGAGCAAAGAGCACCTTGGAGATGCCTTTCAGCACCCTGACAATGCCAAGGAAGTCACAATTCTGTGAGTTTAAAGTGATACCGAAAGAACAAGAAAAAAAGCTTCTTGTAGCAGGAAAGGGAGAAGAAGCTTCTAGTGTGTCACCTTCATGTCTGAAATATTAACCCTGCTTACATTACACTCAAAAATGCAGCTGTGTCCTGGAGAGATGCAGGGGAAGATTCTGAAGTGGAAACACAATTTTTGAACAATATCTGTGACAAATGCCCTATTTCTCACTGTGAGGGGGTCCAGAAGTTAAATCCAACAAAAACCACAGGACATTCCTTTGCCTTGATAGGAAAGCAACAGCTCTAAGGAATTTAGCTTAGCTAACACCTGTATGTCAGGTTGCTGGCACAGTTCTGACAGTGAAACACCCAGACTTTCTTGCCTTACTGATGTGAACAGTCTCACTGCCTTGGGGAATGCAATTAAAAAGTCTACAAAGAACAGCACAGAAGGTAAGAGTCTTTGGGAACCACACTGGTCCCAGGATAACAGGGGTAAGCACAGCTGTGAGGTTAAAGGGAAACCTCTGCCAAAAAGAGTTACAGAAGTGTGTGACACATACTATGTGTTTCATCTATTTGAATAATTTTGGAAAAAAGAAAAAAAGAAAATGAAGGATTTAGCTCATCTGACCAAGCTGATTAACTACCCATAGAGTTGTTAGCTAACCATGCAAAAAACACAGGTTACAGTAAAGCCACTTGAGAGTTTTAAATAAAATTATCCAGGGCTGGATTCATTTAGAAGATAACATAATGCTAGGTCAACTAAAAATTAAAAATATTACCATTTAATAAACAAACAAGGCTTTTTGTTCTCCCTTTTCATAAAATCTATTGGTACTGAAGGAAATGGTATGAATTATTTCTGAATATTAGCAATTGCTGAAAAAGAAATTAAGTAGTAAATAATTTGTTAACACAGTATGGTGGACTTGGCAGTGTGCTGGGTTAACAGTTGGACTTGATGATCTTAAAGGTTTTTCCAACCAAAATTATTCTATGATTCTGTTAGAAATCACTGTGCTGAAGGCACGTTTAACCTGAAATGGCAGATCTCAGCAGGGGTGGGTGAAGCATAAGTCTTCTTAATCTGGTCTCTGCTTCAGATGAGTTTCAAAACACATCAGCACAGGACAAAAGGCTGTGAAAACACCCTGCACAGGAGGTACAGTGTGTGGAATGTATGGAAAAGCAGCAACAAGTGACTGAACTGCACTTTGTGATGCTGTGATCTATGTTGTTGTGCAGTAACGACTGGCACGTAAGTATTCGTTGCTGGGGCTTCATACTGACTACCAGCATTCCCTGGAAAGCTGACCACTTGCAGGCTGGCTGCTGTGTGTCCTCAGCAGCAGTGAGCTTCTTACCTGCCCACAGCAAGGACAGCTTCTTATAAGACAATATTTTCTCTGAGCCTTGCTGATGGAGCAAAGGCAAGCTGACCCTTGGCTTCCTGCATTTTTTGGCTATTTTGAAGTAACCACTCTGAAAAAGCTGTCAGCTTTCTGTAGGGCATTATTCTATGGAGAATTCTGCTACAGAAACATTAACCACCAAGAACTGTGGCAAAGACAGTCATTACTGCAATCTTAAACCTACCTTCCACGCGTGGCAAATACACCAGATTGTAGTGATGAGGATGCACGGAAGAAACTTGGTGCTGTTCTGTTAACGGGGACACTGGGGCAAGTGGAGGGTCTAACAGAGTGTCATAAATTGCTGCCCATTTCAAAAGTTAGGTCTTAAAAATAAGTTTTCACTCTCACTAATTCACCAGCTGATCTCTTTGTAATTTGTAAGATAATTTACTCATACGTCTGGGGGGGAACAAACCAGCACTGACTGAGTTTCTACTGATTCACACCCATCTCCAAACTAAAAGGCAAACAATTGAAGGAGGATGATCTCAATGCTGGGAATCAGCATTTTTAAAAATTCTTTTATTCCTCAATGTGTGTTGGTTTTAGGGAAATCACAAAGACTGGCTGAGGAAAATGCATGTGTGCACCTGCTGCACTGAAATTAGGAGCTGCATGTGCAAATCAGGAAGTTGCAAAAGCATCAGTCAACTATCCATCACATTAGCACACGTATCCACAGACACGTCCACAAGTGTGGCAAGGATATCTTGTGCATTTTGACACAAGCCAGAGCACACCCACAGCTCTGAAAAATCAATTCAGAAAAGTAAAGGATACAATTTCTCTACCCATACACATTTTAGTGCTATTACAAAAACTGGGTTCTGAATATTTGTTTAAAAATCTTTTACAAAATAAACATGAAGCAGCAAGCTAAAGCAGATCTACCAGAATGCCCAAGATCCCACTGTGGTGCTAATAGGAAGCCTAAGAGGCTGTCAGGTTCTGACACAATTTCCTGAAGATTCAGTCTGCTTCCACCTAGCAGCTGTTTCAGTTAGCCGGTGGGAGTCTTAATTTCCACAATGCATTACAAGGAGAAAGTTGCAGGAACTATAAATAACAAACAGCCAGCTTCCTGCAGTTCCAGCATGCATTTATCAAGCAATGCAAAACTGTACTGGATAAATAGCTATTTACAGGCTGTTGGCCAAGAAGGACCTGAACAAAGCAGCAATTTCAAAGCCAGGAGAAGCAAACAAACCAGAAAGGGACTGTTTTTTGTCTTGCAGTCATTACATCTAAATTTCCTCCTAAACAATGTGTGCTGCGTCAGCCAGCAAACTGTACACACTGCACCACCTAGAACCACCAAATCAGGGCTCTCATCTGCCTGTAAAACAATGTTTTCTGTAAACACAGCTTGTTAAACCTTGTAGCATTCTTGCACAGATCATTTCGTCTGACACTCAAATGCAACAAAGTATTGGACCCTACTTAATCATGGTACAGACCAGCTCTGGGGAGGAAACAGTATAGGATGTCATTTCCAACTGATAATACACAGTGGTTCAGTAAGATAAAACAAAACAGCTCCAAGTTGGAGTATAATCAGGACAACAAAATTGCTACGTTTACAAAAGGAGTTTTGAAAAGCAGCTTTTCAGTAGCCACAAAGGTTCATGACCTTCGCTGTGTATTTCATCTAAAAAACCCCGCTGTGACCTCTCAAGAGCAGTGCTCCCTACCAGGAGAGTGAGATAACAGCACACCAGTAATTGCTGGAGATCAGAAATCCTCCAGCATCATGCAGGTATCTTGGCAGCACCTGCTGGTCAGGCTAGCAGGTTTGCAAATCTCCCCCATTACCACCTTCTCTTGTGATGCCTGCACATGGTGACAGAAGACACTCCACTGCTGTGCAGCCTTTCCCCACCTTGCTCTCACTGTAGCTGCTCCCAGGTCTCACCCAAGTTCTGCACAAAGCATGAGACAAGACGGTCTCAGTATGAAATGTGGACCCCATGGGCACTGTGACAGCACTTGTGCCTCATTTTTACTGAGGCTGGCTGGATGAACAGCATGTCCCCCAGTCACTAGTGAATGAGTTTATTGCAGTGGTTTCACCTTTTTTTGTTAAGTCCTGCTACAGCTAATGGGGCACACTCCAGACCACAGGCCAAGCAGACTTGCACGCTACACCACAGAGTTCAGACAGGCACACAACGTTTGCACAGCTGAGGGATGCAGTATCCGTGGGGAAATAGCTCATGGCTGCTTTCCAATCAAGTATTATAAAAAGGATTCTTGAACCCTGGGGCCACCTCTGTTGCAGGCTCGTGGGAATAGCAGGTACCTGCAGAGGTGTGTATTTGCCACTGTGCAGGCCTAGCAGTGCTTATTTGCTGTCCAGAAAAATGCACCATAGCAGACCATTAGCACATCCAACCCGTTTTTTGCAATATTTCCACATACTGGCTGATAAAATCAATAACATACCACTTCCACACATAGTGAGCAGTAGCTGAGTTGTTCTGCTTTGATGTAAACAGGCCTAAGGGGCTTCTCTTGGGAGCACTTGTCACACGGACCAAACACATCTGCTAAAAAGGTCTGGTCCATCCTGGTGGTTGAGAGAGCTGTAAGAGATAGAGAAGAAGGAGAGAGTGCATTCTAGTTCAGTGCAAAGCTTCCCACTACTGTTCTCCTAGCTAATGCAGCTTAGAGTCTATATAGACATCTGTAGGCTGGATAATCTCTCCCTGTAGCTAATCTTTCGAGCTTGATGAACTGTCACAACATGCAAGACAGTCACATGCTCTGCAGATTATACCTTTATGAAGAAAAATACAAAGCAAAATATATACTGTACTGGTAGTGTGCACTGAGTACACATTATAATGTGCACATGAATATACTACATGTCTAAACTACTCCTAGTTTTTACTTAACTACTAACAGCAGACAGTAACCAGAAATGTACAGCAAAAGCTGGATTTGTGAGAAATGTGTTTTCATCAATACTTCTTGTTTTCCCACTACATTATTACATAGTTGGTATTATACATTATTTTAAAGCTGCAAAAATGGCCTAGGATTCATTCAGCAGCTACAAAAATATTATGAACAACGTGCTGCTTGAGCAGAAATTGATGCTTCAAGCACACTGAAAGCTGGGTTATTGTGAACCCACTTTTGTTCTCAAGCCAGGCATCTCTAGGATCAAAGCATTATCATCAATAGAGAATTAAAAACTACTTGGGAGTCAGAAAATCAAACAAGAATGATACTGTAGTGTCATTGTACATTTTTCAGAGGAAAAATGGGACCTTTCACCACTTCTAAAAGGAAAGCTTTTCACATTATTTAGACATGTACATAAATAATGAGTTTATGATTAATAATTAGAAGAAGCTTTCGCAAGAGAGATTTAAATGGAGCAGACGAAGTTCAATGAGCTATGCAGATTTTAGAATTTGTTTGGCTGGGCATTACATGAAACCAAACCAAACTAAACTTTATTCTACACTCCTGCCTCCATTATGCTGCTCATGGACTACTTGAAAACTGAGGTTATAAACTCCATATATAAATCCCGCCCATGCTCAAGTCAGTACAAGTGCTGCTGTTGTCTCCAGGAGAGAGTAACTGTCATCCCAAAAGAAGTGGGAAGCAATCTGTCCTGAAAGGAAAGCTGACATCCTTTCAGGGAGCCTCTCTGTGCTAGTATTGCCCATAGCTTTATGGTGACTACAGCACCTGGGCTCAGTTCTACTGGATTATTAATACTAGACATCTCCAATGCAATCACCTGTTATTCCAAAGTTCTTAGAGTTAGTGGTTCCCACCAGGGGCAACTGAGGTGACATGATGACAGCTTTATATACTTGGTGGGAAGCCTCAAGGCACTAAGCCAACAAGACTTTGGGAGGAAAACTCCACTCCAGACTAAGTGTAAAATAAGGTATTAAAGAGAAAAAAAACCATCTGATTTGAACAAAATATCATTACTAGATCTAGGAACTTTAGACAAGGCTCTGTTAGCCTTGGAATACATACCCTGGGCAGAATTAATCTTTCATAAAGTCTGAGAATTTTCTGGAGTAATATACAGGGTGAATCACTCCTGCTATCAGTATTTTACTTCAGATGAGATTATGACATACTACAAAATTTTGCTACAAGGGAAGCCAACAAAACTTCAGATTAATGAAAAAGCAGTACTGCACCTGAGATTGCTTCTGAAAATGACTGATTTGTATACTATTTTATAAAGCTCTAAACTAGTTAAACCAGAAAGGTCTAAAAAAGTTACAACTTCTTGCACCGTAGCCTGAAATTTTAAATTTATTCTGTTTTTTTAAAGTTACAGTAGAAACTTAATATGACAGCATGGTGAAACACTAAGAAATATGCTACTTACAGAAAAATTCTGTACAATAAATTTTGTTGATAGATATCCCAAATTACCCACCTCTTCAAACAGCAAGAACCTGGAGATTCTCAAGATGACTAAATAAGCTGTGTCCAAGTGCTAACGTAGAAGAGCAACCTTCCTATTAAGTCTACTTAAAGGGTATTTAAAGCTTAGCCTCTCTGGCTGTATCACTCCAGGTCAGTTATGCATTGACAATTAGAGTTTAAAGGCTTTATTTTAACTGCCCTCTTTCAGGATATAGAATGAAGAACATAAACTGTTTGGCAAACCAGCTATTACCTGCCTGTTCCATATAGCAGCAATTTTAGAATGGTTTCCAAATGTTTAAAGTTCAAACATACCAGGGAGGTGACTGGCGACTGATTCTTCCAACTCTGAAGTTGACATTCTGACAAACAACACCATCAGTGTTCAGTCTATCTCATTGTTAATGAAATTTAAAAGTCAAACAAATTGATTAATGGCCGTGCTAGTTCTTCCTTGGATATTCTTTCACTATTTATCTGGTTTAAGGCAATCAATTTTAAACCACTAAGATTAAAATCTGCAGCTTTTTTGCACTCTTTTTAAAAAGTTTGTGGAAATTCAAGAAAACGTATCAGAAAAAATTAAGTATTGCTGAAGGTTTTATCTACTATTGATACCCTGCTGTAGTCACTGAAAACCTGCCATCAGATGTTTGCATTTGATAGTCAAGAGGATTTGAGACAAAATGAGGGGAAAAAAATGAGGCTTCAGCCCAGCAGAGGCTTGGGAAGAAGTAAACTGTCCTAATCTTTTTTATTAGAATATTATGTGAACACAGGGCTGAAAGTGATCACCTGTTGTTTGACATTTTCCATTTGAACAAAGTAACTTCCTCCTTTACTGTCATTTGAGGCAAGTTAACCTCAGTAATGCCTCTTTCATCTGTCTGCTTTCACCAAAACTGCTCCTTGTGTCTAGAAGAATTACAGACAACAAATAGGATTCTGTACCTACTCACTGGCTGAAGGCATTAATGTCAGGATATCTTTCTGAGAGCATACAGCAGACACTGATCATTTTCAACTTTCATTTAAAAAATACATATTTTGTTGTCTGCACTAGCATACTTCATGCAAACCTCTCAAATTTTCCCAATTTTCCTTGACCAGCAATTTTTGTAAAGGCAAATGTGCCCTCTGACACTTCCGTGTGATGCAGACTTCAGAGTGGGCTGTGATTTCACTCCTACCATCCCAGGTAACAGACAAACAGCTTCAGTATCTTGCTATATACAAATTACAGCAACAAAACTGGCTTGCATTAAACTACTTACAGAACTTAACAAGGAGCAAAGGACAGCAAACCATTCTGACAGGAAGATACACACGGGCATTAAAGAATTGTTTCTGGTGCAATAAAAGACTGAGAACATGCACTCAGGTTCATGTAGTTCCAAGCGACTTCTTCCAAACAATCACATACTGGGAACTGTTACACCACTAAAGCACTACAAATTTATTTAAAAGCTACTTTATTTAGCAATTAAAATACCACTCTACCTAACATAACTGTGATATTTTGTAAAGCTTTTATTGTTATTAAAGAAAACACATTATTCCTACCTATATTTTGAATGTATCTCTGTGGATATCACCATGAATATTTCACTGTACACAGTAAACACCAAGAACACTGACAATGATACAGATTTTTCTGTGAAATTAAACAACAGTACTAACACTGTGCAATAAAAAAATTCAAAGAAATTGCTCCTTCCTCTGATATTGAAATTAACTAAGTTAATCAGAACACCTTAAATATGTCAAAGCCTTCATACTCAATTTTAATAACTATGTCTAATAGACTAGCTAGAAAGCTAGCACTGTTTATTGAGGAATTCCAAAGTACAGTCCTCATTGTGGTGAGATGAATGCTGTTTCTCCTGCTGTTTGATCTGACAGGGTCCAGTACCAAGTGAAGCTATTGTTTCTTCCATTCTGACTAGGGGGAGAAGGCTGAACAGAGCAAAAAGAGGAACGCTCTGCTTCCAAGAGTTCTGCAGTTGAAATGAAGATGAAATGTAAGGAATTAAGCTTGGTTTATCAATAAGAGCAAACCACAGCAGCTGCATTCACTCCTACTCAATGTCTGGACTTGAAGAGGGAGACCAGCAAAAGAGAGAGGGAGAAAGGAGATGTGCACCAGTGTGCATGCTCAGTGTATGTTCTGAAACAGACTGCACTGGAGATGGACACAAGTGAGGACATGACTCCTGGCTTTTAGAGAAACAAGCTTGTAACTCAAAACTGGATCATGACATGAATTTTATATCTGACTTTTCCACTATAATTACTGATGTGAAAATCCAGACTTGTCACTGTGTAGAACAAAATGGAAATCTGTCTTCAAGAAGAGCACCTGAGTCCTTCCCCTGGCTGAAGAGCTGCCAGGTGTCCCTGACCTGCCATGCAAGCCTTCCCCGAGCCCAGCCTGCACGCCTACTAAATGGCAATGTGAGCTTGTAAGGGCAATGCTCTTAGACTGATCTTGGTTCCCCAGTTTCAATGGAGTTCTTTATACTGATTATTTTAAAAACACTTGTGGAAGGACTTTCCCTCCTACTGCAGTCTTCTGGAGGAACTGTGATAAAACACTTCTTTTATGAAAGTTGTAAATGTGTAAGAAGAACAAAAGGGTGAAAACTGCTGTAAAACAGATCCAGCATGTCAAGGCAATGAATAGAATTACCTTGGAAAAATACCTATTGCTACAGGAAGTGAAGGCAAGAAAAATTGTAAAGAAATAACATTCATCCCATGGCAGTCTTTCCCTCAGACTGCTGCTGACAAGGCACCAATACAGACTTGTCAGAGAAATGTTTTACTAGTCAGGTTTGGGCAAAAAACCTGTATGGTTAGTTTTGTGTCCAGCTGATGATATAAAGTCATCCTTGTAGAACTGTAATGAAGGGATAAAAGGAAGAAAAGATACAATGAAATCACAAGCTGAATTTATTCCTACTTCTAAGTATTGATTCAAGAAAAAAAACAACAAAACAAAACACAAAACCACAAAAAACCAGTTTAATTCACTGCAAGCTGCCACAGTATCCACCAGCTGGAGAAATTAACCATGAACGTCTGCCTGTCTTTATATAGTCTCTGGGGAAATACCAATCCGTTGGTTTTATTAAACCCTTGTGAGAAAGCCAAGTTTG